AGAGGAGGAGGAGCGCTGAACGCTCCCCCAGGGAGAGGAGGTAGAGGAGGAGGAGGGCTGAACGCTCCCCCAGGGAGAGGAGCAGAGGAGGAGGAGCGCTGAACGCTCCCCCAGGGAGAGGAGGTAGAGGAGGAGGAGCGCTGAACGCTCCCCCAGGGAGAGGAGCAGAGGAGGAGGAGGGCTGAACGCTCCTGCCGGGAGAGGAGCAGCAGAGGGCTGAACACCACCATGACCTGCGGAGCGAGGGGCCGATCTGGGAGGCTGGCGTTCCTGCTGTCAGAACTGAGCAGAAAACCGGGCGGTTTCACAATCTCAAGATCTCAAGAGCACAGAAGGTCCTCTGCACGGGTTGTGCATGAGAAGAAACTAGGAAATTATAATTACACGTTAAGAAAAATACGAGGACACAAATCTTGAATAGCGATGAAATGACAGGCCGTGAGATCTGTGGGATGAAAGGCACTATATAAACGAAGGACACCATGGTTACTGTTCTGTATTTGTGCAGATGTAGCTATTCTACAGGACAGTTGGGTGGCCGGGGGGCTAAAATGAAGGTCCCCCGCTCCGGGCAGTAGGGTTACTTCCAGATCAGAGGACTTACAGATCGGATCTCCCGGTCCTGCAGTTTGCCGTTACAGGCAAAGTCATTGTCCGAGTAAGGACAGGCCACCTCCGCGTCCGTGCTGTTGACTATCGTCCCCTTCAGACAATCCCTGTTTGGGAGGGAGACAAGCAAGTTCTCATGACGGGGGGAGAAGGACAGACGGATTGGACCTTTTGTGCATGCTTCAATTTGAAGAGTTTCCTTATAAGCAGAAAAGCATGTCAATAATTACCTTCCGAAGTTTCAGACAGGCAGGATTGCCATTGTATGTAATGGTTTCCATAAGGGACAATTATTCTAATACAGAGAACAGAATGCTTTTTGTTGTGTGTGTGACAATGAACTGCACATACATTTAAGGTTAAAATTCTGCTTTAAGTGTGCTTAACATATACACTGGAAACATCAATGGGTGTCGCAGTGGTCGGTACGGCTGTTTCGCAACACTGAGGCCCTGGGTTCAATCCTGGGCTGCTACCTGCGTAGAGTTTGTACAGTATGTGCTCCCCACATTTACACGGGTAATACGTGCTGGTTGGTTAATTAGCTCCTGGGATGACGGGCCCGGGTGCGTGTCTGTGTGTGCGTATCCTGCAATGCCCTGGTGCCCCGTCCAGTGCTCCCCCCTGCTCTGATCTCAGGCTCCGGCTCCCGCTCCCCCACAACTCTACACTGGATGAAGTGGTTAGAAAATGAATGGATGGAAACATCAATACCGTCGACGAGTCTATCCCTTGTTGTTTCTGTAAGTACGTACCACCTTTTAAGGTATAACTTTATTTCTGACCCGATGAAATGAAACGTTCTCATACTTGCAGAAGCTGTGCAGGCACTCGCGCAGCGTGGCGCCCTCTCCTGGCTCTATGAGGACATAGCAGATGGGGCAGTCAATCTGCAGCCTGTTAGGCACCAGGCTGTGCTGGTCCGTCTGCAGGAGCTCCTCGAAGTTCCTGGTGCGCTCCTCCTCCAGGGCCTGCCAGAAACAGAGAGAGGCAGGTAGGGCAGTGCCGCAGCAGCTATCTGGCAAGAATCAACTGCTGACACCCTGGCTCTTGCAGCAGGGCCCAGGCCTGAATCCTAAAATTTAAGAATCCTTAAATTCTCTGGATTACTTAACACAACGGTTCTACAGCTGAACTGTAGCTGTTTCTGCACAATCCGTTTTTCTTCAAACGGATTATGTTCTCAGATCGCAGCTCTGTTTCTCTGGCCATTAACATTGGGACAGCCGTCTTGCTTCCAGTAGCTCATGACTATTGAAATGGCACAGTGCAAACAGCTTCTCCTCCTGCTGATTCTTGCCAGCCCTGTGTGAACACAGAGGGCTTCGAGGGGGATCACTGCAGCCCTCAGTTCGGTGCAGCTCAGCAGTAAGTGCAGGTATAGCGTCATCTACACAGCCATTCACTGCTAATCTGACGGAATTAAAGGAATGTCCTACACTGCCAGGGCAAAAGAACCAAACCCGTATGGTCTTGAACACAGAAGACTACAAGGGGACTTGAAACCAGGACTCAGAATCCTCAAAGGTGCTGACAGAGAAACACGAACCAGAGGACACAAGGGGGACCTGGGTGAAACTGCATTTTAAACCAGACAGAAGGCACTTCTGTACACAAAGGACTGTGGGAGTCTGGAACGTTGTTAAAAGCAATACCTTGGCTTCCTTCAAGCAACAGCAGGATCTGATCCTCGACTCGGTTTGCTACCGGCTCCCAGACGGGCCGGAGCTGAGCCGAACGGCGCCTCTCCTCTGTAGCCCCTCTCACTGTCTCAGGCCCGGTGTCGAAGGGGCGGAGGAGTGGCCAGGCGGGCTCCTACCTGCTGGTACAGCTGGCAGGCTGCCTCCTCCTGCTGCAGCCTGCGGGCCTCGTCCTCGTCCGGCTGGTAGACAGCTGGCACCTGGTAACCCGCCGGCCTGTCTGCGCTGCACATCTCGCACCCGGGCCG